GGAGCGTGTGCACTTAACCGCTAAGCCACGGGACCGGCCCCTATTGGCCATTTTTTAAGCTAACATTTAGTGAGTACTTTGTACGTGCTGCTTCCACCCCTCTCTGCTTTGCCAGTCTTACCTCATTTCACACGTCCACGCCATCCCAGTCCACAGATGGCTGGACAGTGGCTGGGAAGCAGAGCAGCTGCCGTGCAGTCCCCTGCAGTCTAATGTCAAGCCTCCGAGTTCTGGGGAACTTGGCCTTGCCATTCCCACCTTGTGAGCTGGGCCCCCGTCGCCATGTTGGGATCTAACCAGTGGTCTGAAGGTGGCTGTGAGACCATCCGCAGGGGTGCTGCAAAGCCCCAACAGTCCAGTGGAGGAGGGACAGGAAACACGTGAGGAAGGCAGCCAAGGGCTGGGGGAGGCGTGGTCTCAGGCTGTAGGTAAAGAAGAGAAGGAGAAAAAGGCTGGTGCTTGTGAATCCGTGAACCACCAATGACAAATTAAAAGTGCGTTTATTCACAGGAACATCATGAGAAGCAGGAATAGACGGGGCTTTGGGGAGGGGGCGGGGCGGGGAGGCCAAGTGCCTCGGTCGACGGTCATTAGCTGGGTGTAGGGAGTACAGGGGCCAGGCTGTGGGGGAGGCTTCTTTCTCTGTCCGAGGCCCCAGGAGGGACATCAAACAAAGACTTTCAGGAATTCCCCAGGCGTGGGTCCTTGTGAAGCTTCTCCTCCAGAGCCAAGTACTTCAGTGGGGCCAACTCCTTGTGTCTGAAATCAGAGGGAGGAACGAGAGGTGGTGGGGGATTACGAAGCTGCTGCTCCAGCCCCCTAGCGGTCCTTCCCCCTCTTGTCCTCACCGATTGAGCCGCTGCTCCAGGATGCGGATGCGGAACATGGCCTGAGAGCAGTAACTCAGGTACAAGTCTTCATCCTCCGTCGTCAAGGTCACCTGGTTCTCCTGGTACCACTGCTGCTTCTTCTGTAGCTCCTGGGTCTCCTTTGGGCATGGCGAGGAGAGAGCAGAAGGGTTGATGAGGGCTGACCCTCACCTAGGCTGCAGGCTGAAATCCCACTGGTCACTAGACAGCCCCCAAGGGTTGGCCCTACTACCCCCACCCGCAGAAGCCAGAGGAGTAGAGGCAGGGGCCACAACATGTCTTGGGAGGGAGCCACTGGGGTCATGTTTAGAGGGTTATCATGTCCATGAGGTCAGAGCAGGGCTCAAGCCTGAGACAGCCATGTGGCTCTGGACAAGGTACATTTTCAGAGCTTCCAATTTCTTTTATGGAAAATGAGGGTCATTGTACATCTCCCCACCACCACTGTAGAGCTCTTTGTGAAGATTAAATGAAATAATGCATGGGAACTAGATGGTGTGTACCTGACCAACAGAAATGGGTCAAGGATATAACAACAATGGGTTGTTATAATGTACCATTCATCCATCCCTCCACCCACCCATGCATCCCTCCACTCATCCATTCAACCACCCATCCATCCATCCGTCCGTCCATCCATCCATCCGTCCATCTACTCATCCCTCTACTCATCCCTCCATCCCTCCATTCATCCACCCATCCATCCATCCATCCCTTCATCCCTCCACCCACCCATCCATCCATCCCTCCACCCACCCACCCACCCACCCATCCATTCATCCATTCATCCACCCACCCACCCATCCTTCCACCCATCCATCCTCCTAT